TATATATATATATATATATATATATATATGTATATATAAAGAACACAAACAGCAATTCCACATAAATAATTTAATCTATTAAAGCAAGACTCAGAAACCTCCTTTGTCTGCTTCCATCAACATGAAACTAGAGACCTTAATCACTTCCCGGTTACTTATTTATTTATTCATTCATTTACTCATGCTGGTGTATTGGTCTGCGAAGTGTGACGGGTCGGAGGTGTTTTCATTGAATGCAGCAGTCTGGAGATAAACTGAATCGACACGTCATTGGCTTTCACTATCGCTCACTGTTTGTGTGTTTATGGAGGGAGGGAGGAGAGGAGGGCCACCGACAGAGACAGCGTGGCTGCTTTGTCGCAGTAACAACTTCTCCGGCCGAGCTGCAGCTCTTCCCATCCTCAGGTGGAGTCTGAGAGGTCACCGGCAGCTCTGTGTTCTCAGTGACAGGGAAACTGTTAAACCACACCGAAGGGTTTAACCACCTGCTCGCTGTCAACGAAACCTGGAGCAAAAGCGACTCCCCGCTTCTCCCCCTCCGCCGACTGGGAGCCACCATCCCCGGATCGGCCGCAGGGACCCAACCTCAGCGGTTGGTTAGCGGGAAGCTAACACACATTAACCGTGGATATAAACTCAGCAAACAGCTTTGACAAGTAAGCAGCTGCACATAAGATGGTTATACCTTTATATTTCAAATAAAAAATGTAATGTTTTGTTATTTTTGGGGACGTGTTTTCCTAAAGGGGAGGATAGACAGCATTAGCCGTTAGCTGACTTCCCTTCACGAGCCAACGGGAACCAACCGCCGTCGCTGCTGCTGCTGCTGTTGTTGTTTTGGATTTCAGTTTCATCTCTCTCCAAATATTTCAGTGACAACGTGGAGATGGATTGAACCATGAAGGGCGGGACTGTCCAATCATCCAAATAGGAGGGCCGCTCTCAAAGGTAGGCTCAGCTTTATGTTCAGTCTCCCTCGCATCACTTCTGTCGAGCTTTCAATTAACTTCAAACCCAAAGCTAATTTTATGAACCAAATGTCACCCGATCCCTGGGTCATGAGTGTTTCCATTCACCCGGCCTGTTATGCAGGGTGCTGCAAACCTTCTGTTGTCCACTAATATACTGAGCTGTGTGTTGCAGAGCCTCAACAAATGTTAGATCTAACCAGTGTGTCAGGAGGACTGTGTCATTACTCAAAGCAAGGATGTGTCTGGGCCAGTTTTTCCCCCACTTCCTCTGTTTTAAGAAAACTTCCTCTTTGTCCCAACATTCTTCTCTGCATCCTGGGGATCAGGGTTACAGGCTGACCATATCCTTCATCTTTGAAGATTTCCCTTATAGCTGATTATCACAGGTCTCACTGAAGGCTGACTGGATGGCTTTATTTTCCATCTGCTGGAATCATCAGTTTTCCCCAATGTTTATATTATTCCTGTAGCATTACCTCCTAACCTTAGAGTCTTGCAGGGAGTGGCTCCTTTCAGCAAGTATGCATTGACTCATTAAGTTACAAATGTAGTTCCTCCTGTTTTTGTGTGTTTCTAGAGATCTCCTCCGTGTTTATCACAAATAGAAAGTGTTGGATGACTCAGCTTTGTTTTCACTATAACACAAATAGCTAAATGTGTGCACAAGATATTGTTTGATGGAGATTTTCAATCACAGTTATTTAATGATAGTAATAATGGAACGGAGCAGTGGGCTGCCTGGGGAGCAGTGTGGGGTTAAGGGTCTTGCTCAGGGACCCAGATTGCAGGCTGTGGGGATCAAACCAGGTACTTGAAACCTTATCAGAGCACAAGCACTCTGCTCTAATCACTAGGCCAAAAATCCCCTATATACCAAGTGGGGTCGCAAAAGATATAATACAAATACTATTACTTGACTGGTTCCATTTTCATATTTAATTAGGTACAACAAACTTCTTTTTAAAAGACATAGGATTTCAGTTAATTTAAATTTGTTTTATTAAAAAAATACCAGTTTAATGCTTTTTTCCCTCTTTTATCAACAACATATTGAAATTAGCAGGGTGAAACTGGCCATAGAAATCAGATAGAGGTACCACCTCATTTCTCTTTTCCACTAATGTAGCATTTATCGTATAGTGCCAAATAAATTGCAAGCACAGCGTACATTCCGTATAAAAATGTTTCAACTGAAACCTCTGTCATATACTTGCAAATACATAAGCTTTGAAGATACAGAACTGGATAAGATTGCATTCAACTAAAAACAGGAAAAGACCTCAGTTTAGTCATAACAGCAAATCTAAAGTAGGAATAATCTGTTTCTATTAAACATGAGTATTTTTTTAAATCATCACATTATCAGGAATATAAGGTGATATGGAGGATGTAACTTGTTATTAAGCTGTTACCAGAGAACAACAGTAAGTTTATCGTCAGTGCCATGCTGAGGGGATGCTTTGCTTCCTTCATAATCAGACTGCACATTATTTTTCTAATGATGGTATGAGCTAATATTAAATATTGGAAAATATATTTTTAAATGTGGTAAATTATAAGAGAATATTTGTATGATCCAATGGGTTTACTTCCAATCTTTTTAGTTTTTCTAATAGTTTTTAAAATCTGGAGATGACATTATTTTACACACATTTTCCCAGCAGTGTGTCTCAACAGCTGACTCACTTTGTGCTTATGGTTGTGTTGTGTCGGACCCTAGCAGGCTGTCTAAAGCAGTTGTGTCATTTCCCAGTGCTGAATGACACAAGGCCGGATGAAGTAATCATGACTTCAAACTTCAATGCTTTGCTTTTTAGCCTGGCCTTTTTTTTTTTTTTTGTTAATATTTGTTAAGTGTGTCGCAACAATACTAATGCTTTCCTCCTGAAAATGTTTTTTTTTTTTTGTAAAGCATTACATTTTCTTCAAATATTATGCTTTTGTCATTCTCCTTTTTATATTCTTTTGTTGTTTTTTTTTTTTTTCTAGAAACTAGAACTAAAATAAAACTTAACATTAGAAATCCCAACGGTTCTGAGATTTTAAAGGGAAAGAACTTTATTTACATTAATCAAATGTTGCTCATGTTAAAGGGGAATTTCGTTTTTTTTTTTTGACATTTGGCCCTTGATTTTACGTTGTTACATCATGTTCTACACACGCTGCTTTGTTTTTAAAAAATAGAAATACAAAAAATATAACCGTGGATGTCTGGGGGACAGTGATTCGTCTACATGTTATGAATGCTGGCATTCCCCTTTAAGTTTCTTTTGGCCTCAGACTGGTGATTTTATAAATAATGTCTACACTAATCAGCATGTATAGAACTTATAAAATGTTGAATACTAGCTGTATTTATGAAAATTTATATACCCTGATTTTACTTCTAGAAGTATTTTTAAGTTGGGCTTTTTAAATATGTTTAAGAGACATTATTTGACTTTTTAGGTGACTCTTTATGACTAAACCAGCATTTAATGGTCAGACCATCACCTCAGTAATTCAGCGTAGATGCATCTATAAGCCTGTAGCCTATTTTCCCTGAACGACTTTGGACGTCAAGCGTGTCCGATGTAAATGGGTCCGACCTAGTAAACAATCGAGGCGTTTGATCCAAGATGGAGTTTGTGGAGAATCAAGCAGCATCCAGCTTAATTCAGACACCAATAGCAACTCCATGTAAGGTGAAAAAAGTACAAAATAACAAAAACTGTTAAGTATGAGTCCTGCAGTTCTGTGTTTTGGCAACAGGTGACAGTATCATTAGAAAACTCCCTAATGCCTTTAATGTAACTGATACTAAAATGTTTTATTTCTGATCTTTTTAATTTCTAAATTAAACTGATCCCTTTGTGTAACATGTAGCTAACAGTGAGCTGCTGCTATTAGTCTAAAACTCGGGTTACACTTTAAGGCTGATTTATACTCAGAAACCAGGTAGTTTGCGTGTGTGTTACAGTTAACGCAAATGTGCCCCTTCCGCAAACACTCTGTTGCACTTCTCCAAAATTGTAGGTGACCACAGACAGAGCCGCAGACGGGAGGCCTCTGATTGGAATCTACATCTGCTCTACACTATGCGTATTTCCTGTTTGGTACCTTACCGACTTGTTTTGTTTGTATGACTGCCATTGTGGAAAACGACTTGTGAAGTTGGACCAGCTAGAAGAGCGAGGTGCATGAGATCACTGGGACCCTTTTTCCAACTGGATCCCCACTCTTTTTCACCCTCATGTCTCTCCATGGTCGCACAAACTTGCCCCCACTTCCTCACCACATAAGCGACCCACAGCTAGTTTGTGGTTGTCCCTCTTGCATTGTGGCGTGGAATAACATAGCACAGACCACGCTTCAATATTGGGCATAAATAAAACATTTTTGTGACACACTGCTGCGGGAGTATAACCAGCCCTTCAGTCAAAAAGACCTTAGGGTTGTTGGAATGTATTTTGCCTTTGGGACTGGCAAATGGAAAGTTAAAGGAATCTCATAAACCCTTGTAGATGTGCATAGACCTACTTTGATATTTTAGAGGGATAATTTTTCTTAGGATTGATATTGAGTTTAACATTTTAGTATTGCATAAATTCTAGTGCAAAAGCTTTGTCCATAAGGTAGAAAAAACATATTTCCACATCTGCTTTTTATAGTTAAGCCTTTTGAAAAAATAGGGGTTTACATGACTTCAATGGCAGTAAGTGGTTGATGTTAGGACATGGCTTTTATGTAGACGTAACTGGGCTGAATCACGATGTTGTTCCACTTTTTGTGCTCCTGAAATATAATTAGAGCTGGGAGCAAGAGATTCAAAGGTCTGAAATGAGTCTGGGAGATAGTATAACTGACCTGACCTGGAGGGATGGATGCAACTTCAATGTGGTCATTACGGTACTTTAGTAATTTCAAATTGCTTTGCACGTATTGATCTTGATCTGCTGATATGATTAAAGAAATGTCTTTTTTAATGTCAGAGGTTAGGTGAAAGTAGCAACTGCTACTTTTCTTTGAAATTTGTAGTTTCACCATTACCACTCAGCTCAATTTTCAGAAAATAGTTTGTTGAATTTTATACAAATGATTTCTCCCATGTTCTTATTACAATGCAGATATTTGGATCAACCTTGAAAGATGAATTTCTGACCAAATGGAAAAGTCATTATTTAGTCTTGAAGCTTTCCATGTTGTTACGTTACTGTCATAAGCTGCCTGCATTGGGTTTTGTTACAATATTTAAGTATGAGATCAGCACAAAGTAGGAAGAAAAAAAATAGATGTTGGTTATTCTTTTTCGAATTTTTCGAATTTATATTTAGACCCCTGGGTTTGTACTGTTAACAGTATACAAAGGCCGCAGTATTTAGCATATAGGTAAAAAGGTTTCTTATTGATCTAAATAGATCAGACCAGCTTATACCCATATGCCCCTTGCATGGATGGTATTGTTTAACCTTTTGAGGAATTGTGACAATATTTACTTTGATATTCTTCTTGTCAAGATAAGGCCAGTTTGCCCTCTAGGTTACATTCTTCAGAAAACACCAACAAAAAAGATCTGATTGGGTTAAAATCAAATCTGTTTAGTTGTGATGTACATTTGTAGAGACCAAAAACTTTGATTATCCTTCTCCTGCATTTTGTTGTCATAAATAGGTACACTAAATTGAAATATAAAGGGATTTTCCATCCCAGTGTCACAAGGCGCAGGCATCTGATGCAAAGTGTTTGCTTCAAAGTGAATGACACAATGCATGCGACTGTCCACTGATGTTACATACTTATCCAGGAGGAATTGAACCTGAAAGTCAGAAACTCGATGCAATCAGCTGGGTTTCCTTTGATAGAAAACTACAGCCAATCTGTATGATTTCACTGAATTGGTGTTGAGAATTGGTGCAATATGAATGAAAATGAATGCATAGTCTGTTATCAGTCCACAAACATGTCTAAGTTCAGATCTGTAGTTGACCCAACAGCTTTACCGGATTGATTGAGCAAACTCGGACTAAACCACAGATTGTAAGCCTGACTGGCAAATTCAACAATAAATCCTCCATCTATAGCAGTTCTCAGTGGACTCAAAGTAACAACATCAACCAACTGAATGGTCAAATCATTCACACTTTGGAGTTTTGGGATAATGGGACTTTTAAATTCCTATGCATTCAAACTGTAGTATGTAAACTGATAAGTTCCCTTTGGGTAACACTGGTATGCTTTACATAGATGCTGGTCATTCTAGCATTTCCTACTTTTGTGGGTGGTTGCAACATGATTTGTGCACTTTACATGGCCTCTTTGTGGTTCAGCTGCTGTCGTTTCTAATCACTCCCATCTTGTCAGAGCACCATCGATGGTGGAATAGTGATGACTAGGGGTGGGTATTAGTGTTGCGCCGATGCCATTTTTTGGCCCCGATACCGATACCCGATACCTGGCTGTGCAGTATCGGCCGATACCGATACCATATTAATGTAAAATAATTGCCATCATGGCTTTGTCAAGCTGCTGCCTTCCTTTGTGAAGCAGGAAAAAATCTAATTCAAAGTGAATCCAGTAGAACATATTATTTCCTATCAGGAGTGGGTGACAATAGTTGAATAAACTTATGGCTCTCAAAATGGTATCGGTGCCCTATTTGTTGGTAGTCGCCGATACCGATACCACCATTTTAGGGCAGTATCGGGGCCCCGTCCGATACTGGTATCGTTATCAGTGCAACACTAGTGGGTATTGGCAAAGAAGTCATGATTCAATTCGAATCATGATTCACATACCACGATGCGATTCTATCATGATGCATCACGATACTTGAAATATTGCGTTGCATTGCGATATTTTCACTCAACACTGTAGGAAAAAGATACAGCCCTTACCAGTGGCTGACTGGCTGGGTATGATCTGGACTGTGTCTTCAATTGATACATAACTGAAAGCAACTGAATTCATACATAGCTGTATTTATTGAAACGACTTTTGGAGGTGTTGCCATGAAAACAAATACTGGACAAAAATATTACTATTACTGGCGTGGACACACTGTCAAAAAGATCTTAGGATTCATCAAACTTAAAATAACAAAATAAGGATAATCAGTGCCGTTTACATGGCCTCAGTGGTCCTTTAAACCAATGAAATGAAAACCTTCAAATGTATGACATTTCCCCTTTTGTAAATTACGAGCACATATCAAGTTCGGTTTTATCTTCTTTGTTTTGTAAGCCAAAATGCATCCAAGCATCTGACTTGAAATGTGATGGAACCGTGGGGCGAATTTTCATAGTGTCCTCCATGTTTATTTCATATGACTCGTCGCAGTATCCCACGGCCGGACATGCTTGTGACACAAAGCAGTGGGCGTCAACACATCCGCAGCGACATCTGCTGGACTGGAAGTTGTGTTCCACTTGGTTTGGCTGATGTGCGCCAACCATTCATGTATTTTATTTGTTCATTTTTATTTTTTTTTAATAATCGATTCTTGCCTTCAAGAATCGATGCAGTAGATCACAAAAATTAGAATCGCGATGCATCGTCATGACAATTATTTTGCACACCCTTAGTGATGACTGGACTGAGCTCCTCGGAGAGACCCGGTCATTTCACACGTCTATGGAAACAGTCTGAATCCCCCATGTGCTTAGTGGCTGTGGAATTGAAGTACAGTTTTAGCTTAAATGCTCTTACTGGGTTTTTCTTTCAGCAAGAGCATGTTACAGTAATTATTATTCAATTACTAAATTGGTTAACAGCTATTTAGATAAGGAATTTATTAAATGTATTCCAGTTGATTTAAAGAAATATTCGGTATTCAAATCACTAATGAGTGAAACTCACTTTGATAAATACCTACCAACAGAAAGCCCCTTAGTTATTTTGCTTGATTTACATTCATAATCAGCTATTTTTTGTAAGAATCAAATGTACATGGTTAGTAGGGACAGGGGATTTGAATCACCTAATGGTGATGTGGAGGAATGGCTTGTTGTACATCTCTTACCTGCATATCTCAAGGGATTTTATAATTCTTACTGTAAAATAAAAGGAACTTTGTTTGCTTTCTGCCTCCCTTCAGGTTGTGCTCTTCAGCTTACCTTTGCAACAGAGCTGAGAGACTGAGCAGAAGATGCCTCCAAGGCCATCCTCAGGGGAGCTATGGGGCATCCACCTGATGCCTCCAAGGTAGGTCTCCCTGTTCTAAAACTTATTATGTTGGTATACAAGTGTTAGAATAATTGTTTTATCATTTTAAATAAGAAAAAAATCCAGACTATTTTCTTTGATTTTTCTTAACAGAGCCCTAATAATGTTTCTTGGTGTGTCTTTAGGATCCTTGTGGACTGCTTGCTACCCAATGGGATGATTCTGACTCTGGAGTGTCTCCGAGAGGCCACTCTAATTGCCATCAAGCATGAATTGTTCAAGGAGGCCAGAAAGTATCCTCTTCACCACCTCCTACAGGAAGAAACATCATACATTTTTGTCAGTGTTACACAGGTGAGAAATCAATGGGAGCTGAAATGTGTGAGGATCAAACATGAAATCAAGAAGATCGAATAGCATGAACCACAGTGTAGGGATTTATCTTGAAATGCCTGATTATCTTAGCACACTGCTTGGGCAGGTGACAATTAGCAGGATTCATAGGTTACCTCACTGGAACAAACTGCCTTTGGCTGGGAAGACGACCTGTGCCAAAAGTATTTTTTTAGTTTGAGTTATTTAGCAATACAGAATCTTAAATGCCAGATACATTTCCACTTCAAACCTTGCTTTAAAGATGATCTATCAGTATCATTATTGACCAATCCTTCTGATATTCTACCTACAAATAGGAAGCAGAACGGGAAGAGTTCTACGATGAGACCCGGCGGTTGTGCGACCTTCGACTCTTCCAGCCTTTTCTCAAGGTCATCGAGCCAGTCGGCAACAGAGAGGAGAAGATCCTGAACAGAGAGATTGGTAAGATCATGGTTTTTTTTGAAACAACCTTTTTTTTTTCTTTGAAAAGATATAAAATAAGAAATCAGTCCATGTATTTTTTTAGAATGCAGATTAATGTGCTTTGTTAACACAAGACAGACTAAAGTAATGTGTTCTTGTTTTGTTTTGTGTGTAAGGATTTGCTATTGGCATGCCCGTGTGTGAGTTCGACCTTGTGAAGGACCCTGAGGTTCAGGACTTTAGGAGAAACATCCTTAATGTTTGTAAAGACTCTGTGGAGCTGAGAAATGCCAGTGGTCCTCACAGCAGAGCTCTGTATGTTTACCCTCCCAATGTGGAGTCAACAAAGGAACTTCCAAAACACATCTCAAGCAAACTTGATAAAGGTATTACTAAACATCTTCTATTTTTAATTCAATTAAGACATTCGAATCGGTGATTCTCAGAGAAACATTTGAAATGAGATGGGTTTTACTGTTGTATGAAGTCTGGAGAAATGAAGCAACATGTTCCATCCGTTTACTTTCATAGCATTGATGTGATTTTTTTTCATCCCCTCTTACAGGTCAGATTATTGTTGTGATATGGGTGATAGTTTCCCCAAACAATGACAAACAGAAGTATACGTTAAAGATCAACCATGACTGTGTGCCTGAACAGGTGGGTTTCATTATCCACTGACCCTAAATGCATATGTATTTTAAAGGCAGATTTTAGTTTGAAGCTTTGAAAAATCACTAAGATGAGGAAGCGTCTATTGTCCGATATTTGTGTCAAACATTTCTTTTTTTGTCATGTTTTTCTGATAATGGTTATAAAGTGTCATTTTAAATAAGAATTAAGAGTTGTTACTATAATCATTAGACTTAGATTTAGACAGATTTATTTGTCATTTTGTTTACACAAGTGTAAAACAAAAAGAAATTTTGTTTAGAACAGCTCTCTGGACATTTTGATTTTTTTTTTTTAAGTACAGCCTTAAAAAATAGTAAAAAAAATATATATATATATAAAAACAGCACTATAGATATATGACTGTAAATTTACAGTTCTAACATTTTCAGTTTTTTTGTTCATTATAATGAACATAGTACATTTTTGTTTTGATGGTTGATATTCACATATATTTCCCAGACATCATTTCATAGCATTTAGAAAAACAGAAGTGGGCATCCTTAGAGTGGGCCTCAGAGGACGCAGATATAAAGACCACAAAGTATACCAAAAAATAGTCATATCAGGCTTTTAGCTTCATCAATGCATACGTGTGTACATTGTATGGCCTTTTAAAAAAAAAAAAAAAAAAAAGCCAAATTGCACGCCCTGCTTTTGCCCTGGAAACTTTGCTCAAATGTTTAAAATTTCCCAAGCAGCACATGCTAAAGCTGGAAAAACTGAATTTTTGTTGCTCAACATGCCTGATCAACCAATCAGACAAGCTGATCTTAGGTTGGCAGGGAGACAACTGTTTATTAATACCTAAATAAATTTAAAGCAACAAAATCAACAAAGTATGTCTGCTTTTATTATCCTGGTGCCTGGAATTTGTGCCATATACTTGAGAAACGCTAACATCTATTTTCAGCCATCATGAACAATAGGGGAAAGCCCCGAAGAGGCGACCGGGGCCTGATGCAGCTGTTGCTGGGAATGAGTGACAGCGCACTGCCGGTATATGGGGGTCTGTGCGGCTCAAACATCGAAATAATATTTTAATCTTGATGAACTGACTGCACAGACAATATTTTGAGGTGGACTTTCTCGGATAAAAGTATATTAAAACTACATTTTACCCACTTATAAAAGCAAATATAGCAAAGCAGCTCTCTGCCATTTAACACAGGAGCAGCAGAAGCATCAGACACATCTGGACATTTTACTGGATGCGCTTTAGGAGTATTAAAGATGCTCTTGAGGCGCTTCTGACCTTAATGTGGACAAGAGTCAAAAATGAAGCAGCAGGGGCTTTTTTGCTGCTTAAATCGTGCCGTGAACGTAGCATTTTTGTTTGAAATAACCTTTGAAACTTAACCTATGAAACTTCCACCTCTAGTCAAGCACACATGCTTCCTATAATCAATAGTAGTGTTGTAATACAGAGAAAAAGTTAGATGCATTCCACCTCAAAATGCAGGAAATGGCATTTCAAAATTTCCCCTTATGCAGCGCAAACCCTAACCATGTGATACACCAAGGTGTACACCTTATGAAATATTCCTAGCTAAAAGCCTGAGTCATATTATGGCCTATAATCATGGAGAAGGAGTTTTTGGTACCATTTACAAGGAGGAGTGGATGGCGCAAAATATCATTGCTAAAGAACCTGGCTGTTAAGACTGTCGACTATTAATGTGAAGTTGAACGGAAGGAAAAACTTAAAAAGTGGCAAAAACTACAAGGATAATTGCTGCCTTCAAAGAATATGAAAATAAGCCTGTTGAGCAGTTAAAGCTGTAATTTCTAGGTCTGGAGATGTTTTTTTTTGACGAAAAGTATAGTTATTTATGTAAAATGAGCCCTATCATATTATTATGAAGATATCATTTACACCACATTAACATATTTTCAGTAGGCTGATGCTTCTGAATATAAAAATCCTTCTTTAATTGTTTTATGTGATAAAACATTTTCAAAGAATTAGGATTTTGGCAGCTCCATCGGCTGTTAAGCATAAAAATATCAGGAAAAAATCCCACCAGTTAATAAAGCTATATAAATTTAATTTGAGATATTTTAATTCAATTCCTGAAAAATTTGTTTTTAGTGATGCTATGGTTCATCCCATCTGTTCACTAATTGATGCTGCTAAAACAACCTCCAACTTTATCTGCCTGATTGCTTCGTGCCTTAAAGGTGATTGCAGAGGCTATTCGCAAGAAGACGCGCAGCATGCTGCTGACCCAAGACCAGCTAAAGATGTGTGTTCAGGAGTATCAGGGGAAATACATCCTCAAAGTTTGTGGCTGTGATGAGTATCTACTGGAAAACTACCCTCTTAGTCAGTACAAGGTAAGATCCAGCCAAATTACTGTGGTTGAACCTGCTTAACTACAATAAATGTTTGAGGTTGTTTCTTTCTCTTTTCTTCCAGTACATCCGTAGTTGCATCATGCTGAACAGGATGCCTAACCTGATGCTGATGAGTAAAGACAGTCTGTACACCCAGCTACCTACAGATAACTTTGTCATGCCATCGTATGCTCGACGCATCTCCACGGCAACATCGTATATGAATGGAGAGGCATCTTCCAAGTTGCTGTGGACCATCAACGGAACTCTGCGAATACGGATCCTTTGTGCCACCTATGTCAATGTGAATATACGGGACATAGACAAGGTGGGGATATCTGGCTCTTATTAATCTACATTAGTGTTTTGGCTCCATAATTGGAGTTTATTAGCTAAAAAAAAAAAAAGAAGGCTAATCTGCATTATTTTCAGTTTGGTAGGATACAAGTTTAGCTTGAGACGACAATAACTTGACTGTTTTATTAAGATCTGCACCTCATCCTGTTGTCCTACTTGCTTGCCTCCTGTTGAAACAAAAGGCCATTGTGTTGCTCTAAAGTGATTTCTACCAAGGGGAAGCAGATCTGTTGCTTTGTGCAGCTTTTCTTGCTGGAATAATTTTAAAATGCGGGGGAAAAGCCCTAAAAAACTTTTTACAGTTGAATTAGTAGTAAACCTTTTGTCAAATCTCTGATCAATATGATTAATACTTTCTGGTTGTAACAACATTACTTTGAAAGCATTTTGTTTAGCCATTTTAAATGTCCTTTTTTGTAGATTTATGTGAGGACTGGAATTTACCACGGAGGTGAACAAATGTGTGACAACGTCAACACGCAGAGAGTACCTTGTTCTAATCCCAGGTAAGTTATCACAATTTGAAAAGACATTAAGAGTACTTTGTTTTGGTTGGTTAGGATAAGTGGTCTGATCTTCAAACATTCCCATGTGCTACGATCGCTTGTTCGAAATAAGAGAAAAGAAATGGCACAAGCAGTAAATGGGTGTGTTAGCCGAGCTTTGTCCTGCTATCGTGTTTACAGTTGTTCCTATACATGCCAAGCTTTTGAAGATCAAGTCTACAATGTTCTGTTTTAAATCCACACCAGGGTTAAACAATAAAAAAATCAGTGGGGTCCGAATAAAGAAAATCAACAACCAGTAAAAGTTCGGAGACATTTTTATCATAATCCATTACTCTAAACAGCATTTCACACTGAAATAAAAAGTAGGTGTTTATGCATCCATGTTATACATTGAGTTTTTAAATAAGAAATCTAAAAAAATTTAACATTTTACATTTTAAAATCTAAATTGCTTTCATACTAGAGAACAACAATCGTCCAATTTGGTATATAGACAATTTCCTCACTCACTTGAAAACTGACTGTTTTTATATTTTTATTTTTTATGGCTTAATGAGAGAAGGGGGCTTTACACTGCCCTGCAAGGCCTTAAACCTGAGTTTATATGGTGACAAAGTCATTCAAAAGCACATATCAAGGTGCTCATTCGTGAGCCTGGATCGGTATTTATTACTAAAAGTAGCTAGCAGCAGCAACCCCTGCTGACACAGCTCATTGGCTAATTTGTATCACATGCAGCTTGGTGCTGGACGCTCCAGATGGCTTTACCATATTAACAGGAGAAGCACTGCAATCCGGAACCTGGTCCGCTAATCTGTGACAACTGATCTACCCAATATTACATAAAGCAGTTAGAGGATGGGGGAAGGGCTTAACAGTTTAGAGCAGGATGGTAACAGTAATTGGCTGCTTTTATGACTGTTTAACCAAGTGCTAGGTGTGGATTTATCCCAAAGGCCATAAAGTATTAAAGTTGCCGGAAGTCTTCCTTGTAGATTCTGGTCATAGAGCATTCCTCTTTAAAACTCTGGATTAGTGCTTCTATGATCTCTTTGTATGTCTTCTAAAACCCTCAAATGGCCGTGGTGGAAGGTGGTTCTCAATGAGCCTGGTTGAGAGCTAGGAACAAAACCTCTCCCGAAGGTTTTTTTCCTGTTTAAAGCATAGTTTTCTTCTCCACTGTCGCTGCATACATGCCTGGTATGAGCGATTGCTGCCAAGTTAATAACACAGTGCCAGCAATTGTCCACAGTTACTACATGTTTTTACAGGATTAATTCTACAGGCCCTTCACCAAAAGCAATCTGCTGGATTTTCTTAGATAACAATATATTTTGTAAATTGGAGCTATACAAATGAATTGTTTTGATAATGGTTTGAATTCCAAATAAGTGTATCATTGTTGTTACCCCAGTCCAGTTAATTGCTAAGGTGAACATCTAAGTACTCATCAGAGTCCACTTTCACTCCTGGATATTCACCAGTGTTAGTGTGTTGGAAAATTCACCACCAGCTCCTAATTTTTCTCTGTGTTATTTGGATGTGTTTCCACTAGCACCAGTGCATAGGACCCTAGTTTCAGTTTGTTTGAGTTGTCCTCATTGAACGATGAGGCTGCCTATGACAGGCTCACCCAATAAACCTCTGAAGATGTTTACTTAGAGTGATGATGGAGAGGTCCACAGTGTAGAAGCGAAACAGGAAAAGAGCTGACACAGTTCCCTTTGGTTCCCCCGAAGAGCAGACTAACCAGTAACCAGCGAATACGAATGAGATGCCAATTTTTTCAGCTAACTTTTGAAAATTTTAAAAAAGAAAATGCATATTAGACTGTGGACCCGATCCATACATTTATATTAGGCTTGGTTGTAGTAAAAAAAGGAAGGACAGTTGGCAAGCTAGCGCTGAGCACAGATTACGGTAGTTATTGACCAAAGTTTTGATAACCTGTTGCAATTAAGCATGGTGTTCTCACTTTACCATGTCAGCTAGTATTAGTGATGGTTCATGTTATCAGGAGTCATAGAGAGATGATTGTGATTATGACGCTGCATAAAGGAAGCAAGCCGTGGCACAAACAGCTGATCAGTCATGTGAGGTAAATATTGGCTTCATCAGAGTCTATTTGAAAATATTCTTTTAGGAAATTTATGCATTTTCACAAAACTACTTCAAATGAGCGCAGAAAGCTTATTACGAAATTTGTTACGTGGATTTGAATTTTGCTGTTTCCATAAATATCCATAAATGTGATACTTCAGATTGCACAGAAGGCTTCAGGCCTCTCCAGGTGAAAAACCTCAAAGCAGGACGAAGATGATAACATCATCCACCCGTGGCCCGTTATTAAAACTTCTGGCATTTTTCATGTCTCAGTTTGTGGAAAAAAAAGGCATACTGTTTTTTGTTGTTTTTAATTTATTTTTATTTAATGTTCCATCCATCCATCCATCCATTTTCCGTCACTCTTATCCCAGTTGGGGTCGCGAGGGGTGCTGGCGCCTATCTCCAGCTGTCAATGGGCAAGAGGCGGGGGACACCCTGGAAAGGTCGCCAGTCTAACGCAGGGCAACATAGAAACAGACAGGACAAATAACCATTCACACACACTCTTACACCTAAGGAGAATTTAGAGAAGCCAATTAACCTAACAGACTTGGATTTGGAAGCCGGAGTACCCAGAGAGAACCCATGCATGCTCAGGGAGAACATGCAAACTCCATGCAGAAAGACCCTGGGCCGGGAATCGAACTAATGTTCCTTTTTCCTAAATTTCTGAAGACCTTTTATGGGAATTTGAGCTTGCTAACGTTTTTTGCATTCTCTGCTGTTCTGTACCATTGGCCACTGATTACCCCAATGTAATCATCTGTTGGTATTATTTTTCTGAAACAATTTGTTTTTTAACTAGTCAATGCCAATTAGATCATTTACATTCCTCTTTGAATGCCTTGTCTTTGCTTCTTGGTTGCTGTTTGGTGCAGGTGGAATGAGTGGCTCACCTATGACATGTACATCCCGGACATCCCCCGAGCTGCCAGACTCTGCCTCTCCATCTGCTCGGTCAAAGGCAGAAAGGGAGCCAAGGAGGTAAGACAGAGTTCAGTGAAGCAAAGTATACCTATAAATGCTTCTTTCTGTTTTTTTTAAAGCTGCAGCTTAAAATA